GTATATATAATTATACTTTGACTCATTGAATCTTTTTATGTGTTAAATTTGTTAATTTCCAATTACAATTTTACTCCAATTGACATTTTACTCCTGCAAATAATGTAGTCAACTTAAACAAGTTATTTATGTGAAAAAATTTAGCAATTAAGTAGCTCACTAAAAAAGGAAAGTAGTTTCAAAAGTTTGATTAGGAATTACAAAGAAAAGAAAATATTTTAAATGATAGAGAAAGAGAAATGGTCAGGATGCTTATGGTTTATCAAAGCAAGCATGCAAGCAAACAAACAAACAAATAAATAAATCTTTTACAAGTGGGAATGTAGAAATTTAGATTTTCGGAGCTTTACTTAATGTGGTGATAAGGCAACAGGTGTAATGTAGTCTGCCATATAGTAGTATTTCTTATTATAGCTCTTTTAATTAGATTTAGCAACATTAGGGTCTACCAAGAAAAAAAAAAGAAACTAAAATGTAAGTAAATGAACAATTAACAAACACTTTCCGAGTAATTGTCTCTTCTAATTGCTGTAATCACTGTGTAAAATTGTGTCATGTGATTAGTGTTCACTGGAAACTTGACATACTCATTTATCCTGTAATCTGAGTATAATTTTTTCAGGCATCACTTTACAAACAAAAAGCTAAATGAACTTAAATAGACTGATGGGATAGAAAATCGGAGCAAAGAAGATCGACAAACAACTAGAGAGAAATGACAAACAAAGGTAATCTTTCATGTTTTGAGGTGCTGCAGGAACATGATGCAGAAAACTTTAAATTGATAGGGAGTTCACTGCAGGCTTATGTAACCCTCTCTGGCATTTCCTTTCTTTCACCTTCATTCATTTGTTTTCTTGGTTTTTGTGAGCCTGTGTCTCACCCTTTGCCTTTTGTACTCTAAAGCATACAGGTGTCCCAGAGCTGCAATTTACCTCTGCTTTCTTCCTGGTTCCTCTGCCTTCTCCTTCCTGTTTCCCACCACTTCTCAAGTCAAACAATCATCCGTTTCCCTCTTTAACAAGAGGAAGAAAGATCCAGAACATGTGAATGAAGCCAAATGTGCCAAAACTAACCACAAATAGTAACACTACTGCCTATATTTTTAGTAGTCTTTTTAAAACACTCTAGCTTTTCTGAAAAGTGGTGTAATGCTACAAATGATGCAACTGTCTTCTAAATTGTCCACTCTCTTTACATATAATTGGGAGATCTGATTCATTTTAGACTGATTCAGTTCATTCAAGTGGTACACTTGTGGTTCACATGAACCATCCGAACATCCGAACCATCAGTTTGTTTGAATGGCACCTGTTAAGGGGTGGGATCTATTTTGTAACAAGTGAACAGTCAGTTTTGTAATTTCAAGTTTTGGAAGCACAAAAATGGGCAAGTAAAATGATCTGACTTTAAAAAGGGCCAAATAGTAATGGCTAGACGACTGGATCAGAGCCGCTTCAAAATGGCAAGTCTTCTTGGAGTTCCTAGTATGCAGTGGTTGGTACCTAACTAAAGTGGTGTAAGAAAGGACAACCGGCAAACCGGCACCAGGGTCATGGGCACACTGATGCACTGATGGAGAGCGAATGCTAGCCATCTGGTCTGATCACCCAGAGGAGCTACTGTAGATCAAATTGCTGAAAAACTTAATGCTGGCCATGACAGAAAGGTGTCAGAACACACAGTGCATCATATCTTGCTGCAGATGGAGCTGCACCCTGCCACACTGCAGAAATTGTTCAGGAATGGTTTGAGGA